TTAATTTGTACCTTTAAAACATAAATTTGACAAATTTATAAATAAAAAATTAATTATTTAAATGATATATAAAATTGATAAAAAAAACAATATAAAAAATTTATTCTTAAATAATTTTCTTTTTTTTTTTCATCCAAGTGGACAAATCAAATGTCAAGTCCCTTGCCACGTAGGAGTGAGATGCGCCACACGAGGCAGTCATCCAAACAGCAGTTAACGGCAATTAGCAGCAGTTATGTTGGCTGTGAGAGTAAGGGCTAAATTGCTTCTATTGCAGAGTTCAGGGGCTTAAATGCTTCAATTAGAGTCTGGGGGCTTAATAGCGATTCTGGGGTCGGTTCAGGGGCTTAACTTATGGTTTTGCCATTCTATATATTTAATTTTTTATCTTATTAAATTTAAAATTTTTAACCTTTCACTTTATATCATGGATATTTTAATTCTTAAATTTAAAAGTCGAAGATTTTAACTTCTAAACTATTGGGAATCTATTAATTATTTGTTTAAAAATAAAATATTTATAAAATTAGTTTTCAAAAATTAAAATATAATAATTTAGTTTTAAAAAAATTAAAAATATAATAATTTAATACTAAAAATTTTAAAATTAGAAAAATTAATAAACTAAAAGAATTAATAAATGATTTTCTTACCTACACTAGAATAATATCAAATACTATAATCAAATCAAGTAAATAACTCAATTTGAAGAAAGAATCTTGACTGAAATCAACGAAAAATTTCTTAATTGACTTAATTGAGTTAAGATAAAAAATTTAAGAAACTAAAATAATACAATCGAGAAATCTTTTTAATTCTAATTAGATTTTTTTCTTTAAATTGAACTAATCATCGATATCTAATATTATTCTTGTGTACATAACAAAGTCATCCACTAATTATTTTTAATTTATTATTTTTATAGCTAAATTATTATATTTTTAATTTCTAAAAATTAATTTTGTAAATATTTTATTCTCAAAGTTAACAAATTCTATTAATTCTATTAGTTTAAAACTAAAATCTTCAAGTATTTAAAATAAAAGATTAAAAACTTTAAATTTATTAAAATAAAAAATTAAATACATATTTTAATCTGAATTGAGGCGGGTGCACACAGATTATCTTTTATCTTTATCAATCTATCATCAAAATTTTCTCTTTTATTTTATTAAATGAAACATAAATAAATATATAAAGAAAATTTTAAATTTGTAATTTTTAGATAAAAGTTAAAAGTATATTTATGATATTTTTTGTTATTAATTTATTAAAAAAATAAAATTAGATTTTAATTTTATCAATTATTTAATTAAATTATTCCATATAGCATTAATGTTGAAAATAAAATTTATTTTCATAATTTTTATACAAAGTAATGATAATAAAGTATAATAAAAATATTTTTAAAATATAATTTAAAAATACAAATTAAAAAAACTCATATATAAATTATTTTAAAATTCTTAATGTAATTTAAAAATTAAAAATAATCCATTGATTTATTTTTAATTGATTTATTTTTAGTAGATTTAATTTGATTTTTAAATTTTTTGAATAAAAATTTTAATTAAAAATTGATAATTTATATGAATAACAATACAAAAAAAAATTGTCTTATATAAAATTTTGGTTTAGTGTTTTTATTTGATAAAAAATTTTAAATTATTAGGTGTATAATATATTAAATTTATACTTAAAATTTATATTTAAAAAATAAAAAAATAAAAATCAATATGTTGTGACTTTAAAATTATTAAGTTATCCAATTACAACTATTATTTAAATAAGATCCTATTTAAATGATAATTATACTTTACTTAAATGACAATCATAATTAAATACTCTGATAATTTTACTATTAAAATATCCTAATTCTTTACATACTCATTTAAAAAATTAAATTAAAACAACTAATTAACTGAGGGAGTAACAGATACTCCATAACCCACAGAGAATTGACTCCGTGGCCGTAAGTCAATTGATAATATATGTCCTTTTACGTGATGATTATTTTAAATTATTTTGCGTTGTCTAATATCTATCCTTAAAACAATTAATGAACCGTTTTAAACCACGTGGTAGAACAACTCGATCATCTTCGGGTATGAAAACAAGAGAAGTATATTTGAAAAGTTCGAAAGTTGTTGAGGGCATTTCAGTAACTACATCCTAGAGTTGGAACATTGACAACTTTAGCTACTAGCTACCTGGTCATCCCATAATTTTTTATTTTTTTAAGCAAAGGTAATTACTGATTATAATTATTATATACTTTTAATAGGGTGTGGGGAGGGAGAGCTGGGTCAAACACAAATGCCAAATGCGTTTTAGTGGTGTTCTTAGTTATAAATAAAATGTATCTATTTTATTCATCAACGTGAAGAACATTTAATTATTTTATAATAATAATAATAATAATAAATAAAATTTAAATTTAAAATTAAAATATAAGATTAATGATAAATTTTAGTTATATTATTTAAAATTTATATTTAAACTTTCTTGTTTTTATTGTGTGATTGTAATAACCTATAAAAGACAGTCATGTATAAATTTGTTTTTCCATTTTTTTCTCCTATGAAATTCCCTAGAACATTATTGGAAAAACACTGGATTGAACAACTCGTGCGAGGTCTCCGTGCCAACGAAAAAAAAAAAAAGAGGAAGAAACCCCGTGTGGGTCGGTGGACGTAGAGTCTAATCCAACGTCGACGTAATAATCAACCGTCTAATCATCCTCCACTTTCATGGCGGCTCTAATCGTCTTTCTCATTCTCTCTCTTTGCCCACAACCTTTCTCCCCTTCATCACCCTCTTACCGCTTTGCCTTGCCATCGTTTTCGCGATGGACTCGGCCCTGGCACCAGTCTTCGCCGCGGTTCTAGGCTTCTTCTTGGTGTCTTTACTCTTCGTTGTTGTTTTTCACCTCTGCAAATCCAAGAAACCACCCAACCACTGCCGCCAGAAAAGTTCAATCACCCCAACCCGCCCAGCCATGAACCCTCCGGATCTCACCTCCGTCTCGGTATACGACAGCGCCAGCTTTGACCTGTCTCTCCACCAGACCTCCATGCCCGAGCTGGCCGCCGTTACCAAGAACTTCTCCTCGGATCTCATAATTGGTGACGGCAGCTTCGGACTAGTCTACAAGGCCACTCTCTCCAACGGCGTCACCGTCGCCATCAAGAAACTCGATCGAGATGCCTTCCAGGGCCTCCATGAATTCCGGGCCGAAATGGAAACGCTCGGGAAGCTTCGACACCCGAACATAGTGAAGATTCTCGGTTACTGTTCGACAGGCCATGATCGGATTCTTATCTACGAGTTTCTCGAAAAAGGAAGTGTGTACCAATGGCTGCACGACACGTCATCACTGGAGGGGCGCCGACGAGCGGATTGCTGATCGCCGTTACCCTGGGAGACGAAGATTAAGGTCGTTAGAGGAATAGCTAATGTTCTGGCTTATTTGCATGGGCTGGACACACCCATTATCCACGGAGATATCAGGGCCAGCAATGTTTTACTGAACTCAGATTTTGAGGCCCACCTTTCTGACTTTGGGCTCGCAAGGCTGGTCGAGGCCCATTCCCACGTCTCAACCGTCGCCGGGACAATGGGCTACATGCCACCGGAGTACCGGGAAGGGAACACGGCAGTCACGGTGGTGGCGGATGTGTACAGTTTCGGGATTTTGATGATCGAAATTGCCACGCAAAGGCTGTCCAAGTGGCCAGTGACATTCGACGGGGAGGAGGTAGGGTTGGTTGAGTGGGCTAGAAAAATGGCGGAGCAAAATCGGGAAATGGAAATGTTGGGAGTAAATGTTTCCAATGAAGGATTGGTGTTGGATGATGTGAAGGAGTACTTTAGAATTGCCAGACTGTGTACCAGTGAGGTCACAAGAGGAAGGCCTGGAATGAGTCAGGTTGTTAAAATGTTGGATGGTGTTTCTACGTGAGTATGAAGATTCTACCTCTTTAATCATCTTTTAAAACTCATATTGTACTAACCATTACTGAGGCTGTAGAGATTTTTAGCTAATGAGAATTTCCTCCAGGTGTTTCAGTGTCATTTATGTAAACATTATGAATTTATTAATTATATTTGCATAATTATATAGACTAGTCTTCCAATTCCAAAAAAAGGGATGTACATTTACTTTTCATCCTAGCACGTTTAGATCCATCGACAAGAGTTTAGTGGCACTAATTTAAAATTTTTGAATTGGAATTAATGTCAAATATTTAAAATTTCTATTGATACTAAACAACTAATTTTTTAATATAAAAATAATTATAAAAAAAAAAAAGGGAAATGAAAAGCAAGTTTAGGTCTTTTGAGAAGCACATTATTAATACTAAATCTACAAACTTTCTACCCATTTTGATATGCCTTATAGTATTTCAAAATATAACAGATGGCATAATCATAAGTTATCATTGCAAATTCTCATTCAATGCATGTTAAGTTCTTATTAATTTGATAATTTTGGGTTTATTTTTTAATGGCAAGACATTTTTTTTTCTCAGTATTAAATTGGCTACTAAGAAAGAGTTAAACAATCACTTTTAACCATTTGTAAAGAAAATTTCATTTAATAAAAAATAGGGACCAAGACTGTCAAATTCACAAGAGTTTATCGAGTATTAAAAGGGGAAGACAGAATGATGATACATGATTATGTGTCTGTAATATTTTCGTTAATTTATTTCAATTAAAATATAAATTAGTTAATTTCATTTAAATTGAGGATATAAAGATAATTTTATATCACTAAAAATAAATGAGTAAATATATATTTTTTGTTTTAAAATCAATCATATGACATTTTTTTTTTTTGAACATTTTTATCATGAGGCCGGTTTAAATCATTGTCCTAGAGGAGAGAAACATGAACCTTACAAACGTGGTTAGAGCTACTTGGCCGAAGGGCCAGGTTCCAATCATATAACATTAGTATTAAAAATACAATTAATTTTTATATTGTTTTATGTAAATTAATTATAAAAACAATACAATAAATATAGATTATGATGTGCACTTAGAAAATCCCTATCTGGTTTTTATGACTTTTCAAAGATTTTGTATTGAATTGGAGCAGCACTGAGTAGTCAGTACTCACTCACCAATCCTCACGCATCCAAGGTTTCAAATTTCATGTGTAGTTAATTAATGTTTGTCTAGATTTCCAACACTGAAATGAAAGTTCTGTGGGCAAAAGCTAGCTAGAAACTACAATCTTCAAGTCTCCATCACACTTTTTCTCCTCTAGTGGGTGATTGAAGGACACCCTACAACTACCACCACGCTGCCTTCATCTTGGCCGTTCGTTAATTTTTTTTTTAAAAAAAAACGCTAGTAATATTTGAGTCTATCTATTTGATATATACCGACATAATCTTTTTTTCAAGTCAACAAAATTCATATTTGTCGATATTAATAGGGTATAAAGAGTAATCTTATCTACAAAATAAATATTTATCAACTTTAATTGATTATCTCCTTCTAGAAATTACTGGGTGGAGTGGAATACAAACCAATATACTTGAGAACATGCCCTTAACAGTTGAGTCACCTGTACTAATTAAATTAGGCAATCGAGAACTTTATTTTTTAGAGATTAATTCCATTAGTAGAATCAAGAGTTACATTCACTCAAAGAAATATAAAAGAGACCAGACAAAAGTGGCCCAAATCGTGCAACAGCAGCCGAAGACCATTTAATAATTGGCACGGTTATCTTTTATTTTTGGTCCTTGAACTATTATACAAACCCTTAATTCGATCTTTAAACTTAAAAAATCTCTAATTTGATCCTTACTATTTATCATTTTAACCCCAACTTAGTTCTTCTGTTAAAAATCTCATTACGTGTGCTGTTAATTCACAATTACATGATGATGTGGCAAAATATTAATACAGTGGATGACTATGGCAAAAATAATGACATGGAAAAAATAATAATATAAAAATAATAATAATATGAAAAATAAAACTTAAAAAATCCTTTCTTTTTTTCTTTTTCTTTCTATTTCCCTTTTTCTTTACCCTTTCCCCTTAAAACCCATCGAACCTAGCAGTCGTCGCTAGGTTCCTTGGAACCTAGATGTGGATTCGTTGGAACCTAGGCTTGGGTTTGTTCAAACCCAATCATTGGGTTCGTTTGAACCTAAGCATGGGTTCTTTGGAACCCAGGTGCTAAGTTTGTTTGAACCCAAGCCTTAGGTTCGTTAGAATCTAGGCATGGGTTCCGTGGAATCCAGTTGCTGAATTCGATGGAATCCACACCTGAGTTCTTTCTTTCGAACCTAGGTGTTGAGTTCAAAAAAAAATTTTGTATTTTTCTTTTTTGTGGGTTTTGTTGTTTAATAATGAAGAAGAATTGATTGATGAGGAATGGAATTTCATTTCATTGAATCAATTGTTTGATTCAAAAAAATGGTGATGAAAGTTGTCTCGAAGGAGGTAAAGAAAGAGAAAAAGAAGGATGAATGAAGAAGATTTGAGAAAGAGGATGCTGGAGGAAGAAAATGAAGATAAATTTATAATTTTGATGGATTCCATGGCAAAAATATAACATGTCATGTTGTTATGTCATCATTTTTATCTGATGTGTCTCAAATTTTTGCCATATCATTAACTCTCTGTGAGTTAATGATGGATTTTTAATGGAAGAACTAACTTAGGGTTAAAATGGTAAATATGAAAGACCAAATCAAAGATTTTTTAAGTTTTAGGATCAAATCAAAAACTCATATAATAGTTTAGGGACCAAAATGAAGTTTTAACCTTTATCTTTCGTCCTTATCCATCTATCATCAAAATTTTTTCTTTTATTTTTATATTTGATTAAAGGCAACGTAAATAAATATATAAAGAAATTTTTTCATGTGTTTTTTTAGTAAAATATAAGGATGTTTTTATTTTTTTATTATTAATTTATATAAAAAATAAAAATAAATTTTAATTTTAATAATTGTTTAATTAAATCGTTGTATATACTATTAATATTGAACATAAAATTTATTTTTATAATTTTTTTATATAAATTAATAATAATAAAATAAAATATATATACTTTTACCTTATATCTTAAAACTACAATTTAAAAAAATCTATATATAAATTATTTTGATAATTTCAAATTTTAAAAATACTTCATTTACTCATTTTTAATAGATCTAATTTAATTTTTTTATTTTTTAAATAAAATTTTAGTTAAAAATTTAATAATTTATATAAATAAT